CATGCCACCCCTTGGAAACCCCCCCCCCCGAAGTTTCCTACAGTCTGCATACTGGGGGAGAGGACTGAGCAAGGCTCAGGGGTGAGTCTCTGCACATGCTGAGAGGAGCCAGGGCTGCCCCCCACTGCCCCCCCAACAAAAATTGTCTAGCTATGAGGCTGATTCCACCTCTCTGTTTCTCAGTAGAGAGTCATCAGTCCAGGCGACCAGAGTTGTCTCTGTTCCAAATCCTGGACTGAAGCCAGTTTAAAATGGGTCCAGAAAACCAGCCTCTTCCAAGAGCCCCTGGAGCTGAGAAGCCACAACCCACCCAAGCACCTTGCCCAAGCATGGGAGACTGGAGGCTGGCCGGAAGTGCTCCAACACAGTGAAAAGAAGGAGTTATCCTTCTGGGAGAACTTCAGGCCCTCCCCCAGGATGGCCACCTTAAGGAGAACCCGTCATCTGCAGCAGCACCAGTTTCCCCACAACACACTTGCCTGACTGTTCTCGTAGAACTGCTTGACCGCCTCCGGATTCGGTGACTGATTGAAATTCCTTCTCAGCAAAGGAGTCCAGGTAGCACCTGGTGAGATGCTAGGATTCAAAACGTTTGGGAATTTAAGAAGGGCAGGGCATAAAGCATCAAGTAATATGTCCCCTAGTGAATGAGTTTTGAAGAAGTGTCTTTCTTATTATCACTAGAAAGACATCAACTTCCAGTTCCATGACAATCTTAGAGGTTAGCAAACTAGAGAAACTGTTTCACCCACAATCCTCGGCATGATTATTCAGAAAATACCGCATGAAATGCAGTCTTTGACATTTCAGTCCACAGGGAATTGTTCCCCGCACACACAAAAAAACAGCAGGAAATGTTGATTTTTGAATCCATTTTTAAAGGAGGGTTAGTTGCACAAGCTGAGGGCCTACAAGGAACCATGGGGGGGGGGGGGGGCGTTCCACAACCGGGGAACTCGGGAGTATTATCTCCGTCACCAGATCTCCTTCTCCAGGATTCTGTAAGCTCTTAGGCGGAGGACTTAAGCAGGCTGATGCCTTCTCCTCCCCACCCCATTTTTCCACTTTGACTGACTCTAAGCTGCTCTTTGCATTCCTGGCCCCCTGGGGGAGATTCAGTTCTCTTTGAAGCTGGCTCCCCCCCCCCAAGAGTGTCTTATTTGTCTTCTAGTTAATTGACAGAGCTGTACTTTCCTGCACATCTGGGGAAGACCTGCTAGTATGGAGACACCCCCACCATCTCAACCTGCAGGTGCCCTGGTTTTGGTGCTCTGGTGGTATCTGCGGTGGTTGATGTCAAAGGTGGCACCTGGAGATCTCCCACTGTTACACTTCATCTCCAGATGACCAAGATCATCATCATCATCAGTTTATTACGGTCAAAGACCCATCAGACAGCATACAGAATCAAAAACAGTCTCCCAATTATCACAAGGCATTACAGAGAGGGGGAAAAAACAAGCAAACAACTAAACAAACATCTCACGGAGTATTAAGGAGGTGCTTACGCTTTGTAATTGCAATAAAAAGAAATTTAGCAACATTCCTTGAAATAGCCGTGGATTTGTCCTCCAGTAAGTGTTTCAGCAAAAGTTCCTCGGACTGGATTACTAATTGTCCTTGAAATCTAAATGACCTTAATAAAGGCATAATTAAAAGGGATCTTTATTCTGCATAGTGAGAGCAATGAAATAATATATGGGGGAGGGTCTCTATTGACTTGTAAGGGCATGAGCAAAATCTCAGATGTCTGGGGATACCTTGAAATCTTCTGGAAAGAACTGCAGATGGAAAGGTGTCACATCTGGCTCTGAAAAAGGCCCATCTATGATTTGGGTTGGAAATATTAGCTAGGTATAAAGGAGCAGACATTAAAGTTTTGGATTTCAGAGACTTGTAAAAAGGCGGAAGTGTGGCATAAGCTGTTTGTAACTCAGTATCTCTGACCAAGATCAGCTCCCCTGGAGAAAGCAGCTGCTTTGGTGGGTGGACCCTCCTGAGGTCCCTCCCCTCCCCAGGCTCCACCCCCAAAATCTCCAGGTATTTCCCAACCCAGAGTTGGCCACCCTCGTGGTAACACAAATGCATTACATTACATTATTACATTTAGTGATACTTCCATTGCATGGCCTTAAGGAAAATCTGAGTATTTCAGTAGATTTGAAAATAATGTGATTCATTTCCTAAGTTTTAATTCTAGAAGTTATCATAAATAAGGCTCAGTATTTTTGTGTTTCTGTTCTCCAAAGTAACAACATTGGAAAGGGAAAAGAAATATGGGGACTTTGTACCACTTATGTTGTTGTTGTTGTTGTTCAGTCGCACAGTCGAGTCCGACTCTTCGCGACCCCATGGGCTAGATCCCGCCAGGCCCTCCTGTCTTCCGCTGTCCTCTGAAGTTTGCTCAGTTTCATGTTCGTTGCATTGATGACACTGTCCAACCATCTCATCCTTTGCCGTCCCCGTCTTCTTTGACCTTCAATCTTTCCCAGCATCAGGGTCTTCTCCAGGGAGTGCTCCCTTCTCATTTGGTGGCCAAAGTATTTGAGCTTCAGTTTCATTATCTGGCCTTCCAGGGAACAGTCGGGGTTGATTTCTTTTAGGATTGACTTATTAGATCTTCGCCATCGCTTTCCTCCCAAGTAGCAGGCGTCTTTTAATTTCATGGCTGCAGTCACAGTCTGTGGTGATCTGGGATCCCAGGAACGTGAAGTTTGTCACTACTTCCACGACTTCCCCTTCTATTTGCCAAGGAGTGATGGGACCGGATGCCATGATCTTAGTTTTTTTGATGTTGAGCTTCAAGCCCACTTTTGCGCTCTCCTCTTTTACCCTGAGCAAGAGACTCTTTAGGTCCTCTTCACTTTCTGCCATTAGAGTGGTATCGTCTGCATATCTGAGGTTGTTGATCTTTTCCCCAGCAATCTTAATTCCCGCTTGTGATTCATCCAGGCCAGCATTTCGCATGATGTACTCTGCATATATACCTTCTCCAAAAGGTGACAATATACATCCTTGTCGTACTCCTTTTCCTATGCTAAACCAATCAGTTGTTCCATATCCGGTTCTAACTGTCGCTTCTTGGCCCTTATACAGGTTTCTCAAGAGACATGTGAGGTGGTCTGGTACTCCCATCTCTTTAAGGACCTGCCATAGTTTGTTGTGATCCACACAGTCAAAAGCTTTAGCATAGTCAATGAAGCAGAAGTAGATATTTTTCTGGTACTCTCTTGCTTTCTCCATAATCCAGCGAATGTTGGCAATTTGATCTCTAGTTCCTCTACCTCTTCGAAACCCAGCTTGTACTTCTGGCAGTTCTCTATCCACGTACTGTTGAAGCCTAGCTTGTCCTCCTCCTCTTACAGTCTGATGTACATTAACAGAAGGATTTTTATGATATGGACATAAATAATTCCTACAATTCATGCTGCTACTCAGCTTCTATTAATGAACCAGACGTTTTTCTCAAGGCGTTTTGGCAACCCTCGGTTAAGACACAGCACAGGGGAGACCAATGTACAGTGCCTTACAGTCCTCTAGACTCAATCTTGGCAACCCTAGTGAAGAACCACCGCCGGGACCTGGGGACAGGTGCAGTGAGCCAGAGCTTCTCATCTCTGGAGGTTGACTTTCAGCACTTGAGCTGTCCCCTGATCTTTTCCCCCTAGACAAGAGAAACAGGGGCCCCGGTCACACGTAAGGGTTTGGGCCGGGAGAGGGACAGATCGGGGGTGCAGCAAACGGGCATGATCGCACCGCAACATCTGGGAAGCGGCGTGCACCCGTCCCCGATCTGGTCCTTCAGGCCGAAAACCCACTGCAAAAAAGAACCACCCCTAGAGGTGGACTTACCAGAAAGGCCGCAGCAAGCGCGGCCATGGGATCGCCGGCGCGTCCTTCTGCTGGCGCATCTGAGGCTCCTGGCCAAACTGTGCATATTTTCGTGCAGCTTTCAAAAGCTGCACTTTGCCCGTGCATTCCCCCCCCCCCATGTGGCAGGGACCAGGGTTTTCACGTTTTCTACTCTGATGTGAGCTCCTCAAATTGAAACATCAGATGGGCCATATGCAAGTTGGATTTTATTTCATTATTCCAGCACAGACTTATCTGAACTTTCTTTTGTACACCATTGACAGCCGGTGAGAATGTGCCTTGTTGCCTTGACAGCATTAGTCATACCCGTGTGGCCTGTGACTCATCAACTTAAAAAGCTTCATGATGGTAGAAATTACCTTTTCTTCTCTTTAAAACAATGTCAATCCATCACTTTGCTCCAAGAGCTGCTGAAGGCACCTTGATGTGGTTTTAAAGAATCCATAATGCCCCATTACATTGGCTCATTTATTGTGTGATCCCTGATTGGTTGAGATTAGCTTTATGAGGACTTCAGGACATCCATCACTTTGTACCAATAACGAATCCTTGCAATTGGAGACTGCAGGGATAAACCCTTTGGGTACAAACCTGGCCCCCAGCCATGGCCCATCCCCATTGTTTTGATTTGATCAGCAGAGAACTGACGGACACAGGGATAGCACTGCACCCCAGGGTACCATTCCAGGTTTTTCCACTGTACTTTCAACTCCACAGGGAAGAGGGAAACGCCTTAGAAGTTAGAAACACTCACCTTGGATGCCAACAAACCACTCACAGTGTTGGTTTTTATGAGGTTGAGGAAGTCTTGGGCACTCACGTCATCGATCTGTTCTGTATAACCTGTTTGCAAGAGGATTTAAAATGGAAGATGGGGGGGGATAAAGCCCCCATTATTTCAGGTTTTCTTTTTCCAATCAGACATTTAGTTCATGCACTTTGAAGGAAATATGCAGATCTAAGATCTAAAATATATTTTGAATTACTGTTCTCTATTGCATGGTTGTATTCTTGGCTAGTTAATATGGATAGTAGTCCATTGAGCTATACTAGGAAATGGGGAAAGGGTTTGCAATTTACGACCACAGAAGAGGAATGGGGTTGGCTTTGGGCAACAGCTGATACTCGACTACTGGAAACTAGTCTGAAAGAAAACATGTATAAATTACTTCTTCAATGGCACCAATTAGCCCTCATATATGGTATGACAGAGGATAAGTGCTGGATATGTAATTGTTCCTCTGCAGGTGTGTTCCATATTTTCCATATTGCCTTAAGAGTCAAACATTTTGGAAGACTGTGGTAAATTACGTTAATGAAGTGCCAGGTAGGAAAATGCCTTTTGGACCAAACTTAATTCTTCTGTTTTTTTGGTGAGGTTTTGTAGATTATTCAGATTTTGAATTAGTATTAAGTTCATTTATAGAAGCAAGAATGAATATTGTAATAAACGGGGGGGGGGGGGGGACGAAACACACAACATTCCAACTATTATTGAGCAGTTTAACAAGTTTTGGTTTATTTCACCCCTGTCTAAATTAACATACTATCTAAGGGATAGTAGGAGGAACTCTATGGAACCTGATTTACTAAATATTGGATATTATTCCTTTCTTTTTGGATTGAAAATGTATATGATAAGATACCCCCATTTGCTTATTATGATTTCTTGTAAAATTACTAAGGAGTTTGTGTGTGTGTGTGTATATAATGAATGTTTGTATTAATATAATGTTTTTGAAAAAATTAAAAATAAACTTCTTTTATTAGGCTAATGTAATTTATTTCTTTGTAAACAGCCACCTGGGAAGTTATACTTTTTCGAACCCTTTATAGAACAAGTCTGTTTTGGCTTTTGAATAAACAAGAAATGACCTCCCATCCAGTCACAAATGACCCAGGGATTCTTCCCAGGCCCCAAAAGTTTGGCGGTCACTCACCAGTTCCAGCGTTGTTCACCAGGCAGTCCAGGCATCCGTAACGTTCTACAGTGACCCGAATCAACCTCTGCAGCAGGAACAAAGATTATGTTTAGGATTGCACTGTTGTGATTTTATTAATGTTCATGTTTTAGTGTTTTATGCAGTTATGTAAGTTGCCCTGAGACTGCTTTGCAGGGAGGGCGGGATATAAGTCAAATAAATAAGATAATAAGATGTAAAGCAGGGAAAGGACAGCAACAGAATCGAGAATGCTGTCATTCCAGAGCTGCAAGCGACCATCACCTACTCTGGGCTGCACCTGTTCCAGGTCCTGGGAGCAAGACAGAGAAGGGTGGGCAGCAAAGGAGCCTGGGGGGAGAGAGGAGAGAAATAACCAGAGCAGAGGGCTCCTGTGTGGGTTGGGGGACGAGGCCTGATCCAGACTGGGGAGAGGGTCGCTCAGGCATTTGGTGGTTGAGAGTCTTTGAACCCTGAGCTGCCCCCTGTTGGAATACACCAGTGTCTTGTGTACAAGGAAGAGGAGGAAAGAAGATCCTGCAGAGGACAGCAAATTCTAGCTGGAGAGGACTGTAGGGGGAAGAACCTTCTTTCTAAAGGGGCTTCTCTTTGTCTGTCTGCAGAATGATGTTCTTAGGCTTTCCTTTTGAAGCAGTCTAGAACTCTCTGTCTCTCACTTTGCAAGGCAGGTAGGGTTACATCTTCTATTTCCTATCCGCTTTATTAGTTCTACGAACAAAACTTTCTTTATTCTTACTCAGTTCAGTGTCCTGTCCTGACTCCTGTATAGGTGTTCTGACAGTGAGGAGGACAAGAATCTTAAAGCTGTTGGAGAAATTCAGTGGAACCCCAGGGCAAGGACTTAAGCAGAGGAAAGACACATGATACCATTGGTGATAAGCATATTTGGAATTTGTGAAAGAGGAGCATAAATCAAGGGGAAAGGCCGAGAAGAACAGTATTGTGGCCATTTAGATACCTGAGAATTAGAATATAGAGAATGGTTTTAGTGATGGGTTCAGAGATGAAAGGACATTTCTCGGAAATGCTGAAGAAGAACCCCCAAAGAAGCACCACTCTTCACCCAGTTTTAGCCTACCTTGATGTCTGACTCATTGCGGACATCACAGACCTGGTAGAAAGCATCCCCTGGGCACCCAGAACCCTGCAGTTCCCTCTGAACCTCTTGTCCCTTTTCCGCTGCAAGGGGGGGGAGAACAGAACAGTTGCCAGCAGAACAAACCTTCCAACCCTGCCTTTTTTGTGCAGCCCTCTGCCTTATCCCTCCATCTTCCTTTCCACCTGCACCTAAGCTCTGAATACGGACAAGAATGTTTGCTAAATGACTTGAAGACTATTCCTCCCCTCTCTTGGTTGTTTCTTACATTTGAAGGTGGCCTAAAAGGGCTGCAAAATAAACAAATACATTCTGTTTTAAACAGGGAAACCATCTCCCTGGGTGGGCAGGTGCCGTCTAGTGTCTCCTACAGGAACAGGGGAAGACAAAGAACCTGGTGAGTCACTAGGATACCGATCATACCCTGCCAGAAAACGTCATCTCACTGTATTTGCAACATTCTTCTCAAGGAGGAAACTGAATATAACTTAAATTTCTTACCTGAATTCTCTCATGCTGGGCCGTGATCTTATCATCCAAGCTTACTTTCATCTCTGACTCTACTACCTGAAACCTCATACTTTCTTTATATTTCCTAAACCTGAGATACTAGAAGTGAGCAAGTAAGGGGCTGGCTATGGGGATCATACCTCCCCTGTGCTGAAAGATCTGCACGACCCATCAGTTGCTGGTTCTTGGCTTCACAGCTGTCAATGTCTTCGAACCGGGGTCCTTGAAGAACCCCCCTCCTCCCATATTGTCCGTCCATCCCCCCAGTTAAGATCTGTTTCTGAAGACCTGCTCTGTGGGCCTTCAGAGGTGATGTGGGTGACTGTCAGGCCCCTCCTCCTGCTGAGACCCCACACTCTCATTCCCCTCTCATATTGCCTGTTTTGAAGGGCACCCCCTTGAAAGCCTAAGCATTGTGGGGACCAGAAAATTAATCTCAAAAATACCCCTGGTCTGCTGTGACCAAGGTAAATTCTATCACAGAGGAAGGGTGTCCCTGAAATGCATGAAGCATTTACATTCCCCCAGCTCCAAGGGATACATCATGAAGGCAATATGAACCATTTATGGCTATAGACAGTTGGTCAACTCTTCATCGAACCCAGCCGTTGGTAAAGACAGCCTAACATCCAATCCACCCAGGATCAGCCATCAGGAGAACCTTTCAACCCATCATTGATGCTTGGTCATTTATCAGTATGCTAAAAAGCATCCAATGATAGACCAACCTACGAATGACCGATTTCCCTACTGATCTTCCCGCCAGATTTTGACAGCAGTCACCTTCAAATTGCCCAGTCAAATTCAAACTTCATATCTTGGGCCAATCTCAACCCTGGGCAAGTAAGGTCCCCATAAAACGGCCATCCCAAGTCAGTGGAAAGTGTGTCAGGTCCTCATGCTACCTGGATACCCCCCTGCAACCTTTTTGCAGGCTCCTCTTCTTAATACTCTGCTGCCTTGGACATCTACTGCATGGACTTCCCATAATCCTCCACTTCTCACCCCCCTTGGATTAGGTCCTATTGCTCATCTGAATGTCCCCCCTTCCCATTCCTTGTCTCTTATCTCATCCTTCCTCGTAGTGTCTGGGTGAGTACTTGAAAACCAGTCGAATCCGACTCTAGGGATGCAGTGTTCATCTCCATTTCCAAGCCGTAGAGCCAGCACTGGCTGAAGACTTCTCCATGGTTATGTGGCTGGCATGAGTACACACTGAGGCACGCGGAGCGCTGTTACCTTCCCACCGAAGTGGTACCTATTTATGTACTTGCAATTTCTTGCTTTCGAACTGCTAGGTTGGCAGGAGCTGGGACCAGAGGCGGGAGCTCACTCCGTCATGCGGCGCACTCGGGTCTCAAATTGCTGAACTACCCACCTTCCAGTCCGCAGTTCAGTGTCTTGACCACTTGAGCCACCGCAGCCCCTAGAGGGTGGCTGACTCATGCTTTGAATGGTTTGTTGTTTGGGTTTGCTCCTAGTCCTGTGTTTGATTGTTAATAAATAAATTTTCATCGGCTTTTAATCAGTGTGTCTGTGTCCATTTTCTCACAGGAATCTTGCTCTGGAATAAAACCTCTGCATGCACAGATAAAAGATCCATTGTTTGCCCTTCTAGACACCCCTTTAAGAGCTCATCCCCACTCTCTGGGGCCATTTCAGGGAACATGATGAGCAGAGAAAGGGGCTTTTGCAGTGGGGGTACCTGACCTCTCTGGGAGGAAAGGTGGCCTCGTATAGCCCAGTCTCATCAGATCTTGGAAGCTAAGAGCAGGGCTGGGACTCAAAGGGGAGACTACCAAGGAAGACTCTGCAGAGGAAGGCAAAGGCAGGCCACCTCTGCTTCTCGCTTGCCAAGAAAAAGTCCCTTGCTGGGGTCACCCTTGCTTGATCGCACCGAAAGAGGTACCTGACCTCTTTAGTACCATTCTGCTTGAGCCCCACCTGGCCCAAACAGTTCTTTCTACTTAGACTTGTAATGAAGGAGTTGTTCTTTTAAGATTGTCTTTAACATTCTAGGGTAAGGTCTGTGTTATGAAAATCATTTGGGGTGCACAAAATATTTTATATTATATAATGCGCTGCCTGGGGTTGTAATCTTTTTTTTTAATGAGCATTTATGCTGATTTATAGTTTTATTAAGTTTTACTTTGTAAGCTGCCTCAAGAAGGATCTTTGTCATGGAGGGAAATGCCTTTTTAGAACAAACAAGGGGACTCTGTCATGGGGGGGGGGAGTAGAAAAGGTGCTCCAAACTCACCTCCGGTGGCCCGTGAACAGAAGACCACATTGGCTCCCTGGTGAACTGGAGGGCAAAGAGAGGAAGGAACACAAGAGAAAACTCAGAGACGTGGCTCACTCACAGATGCACAGCACGGGATGTATTCGTTTGTTTAAAAGACTGGATTCTTCCCTCACCCATCCCTCATACAGAACCTCTAACAACCCCAGAACACTTCGTCTCAGGAGGGGCAGCCTTCTGCAGGCAGATCTCTCCGATGATGGGAGCAGAAGCCCCCTCCCCCCAAGCCCTCCATGAAGACCCTTTCAGGTGGGCAGCCATGGTGATCTGCAGAAAAACAACAAGATTTGAGTCCAGGAACACCTTGAAGGCCAACAAGCTCTCCAGGGGAGAAGCTTTCAAGAGTCAAAGCTCCCCGAATCGTCAGATATCTGACACCCCCAAATTCTTGTTGGTTTCTAAGGTGCTCCTGGACCCAAATCTTGCTGTTCTGTTGCAGACCCACCACGGCTGCCCACCTGAAACTTGCTTTGGGGAGCAAATGGCTGGAGAGGACCAGGATTACTGGAGCCAGGATTTCACGATATAGATATTGGAGGTCAGAATTTAATATAAAGGTAAAGGCTCCCTTGCTCGAAAGCCAGTCAAGTCCGACTCTAGGGTTGCGGTGCTCATCTCAGTTTCAAAGCCGAAGAGCCAGCGCTGTCCGGAGACGTTTCCGTGGTCATGTGGCCAGCATGACTAATCGCCAAGGCGCACGGAACGCTGTTACCTTCCCACCGAAGTGGTCCCTATTTATCTACTTGGAATTTCTTGCTTTCGAACTGCTAGGTTGGCAGGAGCTGGAACTAGAGGCAGGAGCTCACTCCACACCGAATGCCTCCCTCCACAGGCTCACCATCCTCGTATCAGTCAGAATGGCCACCTTGCATTCTGGCAGCCCGCTTCAAGAGCTTTACAACAGGTTGAAATTCAGCAGGTGTAGCTTTGCCTGCTACAAAAATAGGAACTGTCTCCAGTCCACAAGACCTTAGGTCAGAAGGTACTACTACATGAGTCCTTTTTGTGTTTGCAGGACAGACAAAAATGCCTCTGAGGACAGAAAGAGGACATTTCCCTCCCTCCCAGTTTCTCTCCATCCCAGATTAGAGATGTAGGGAGCAAGGCTTCCTAAGTATTCCTAGCAGTCTGGACCCCGGCCCCTGTGGGCAGTAAATGCCTACTCCTCCATATGGCTCCAGAGCAAACTAATTTATGCAGTAGCCAAATCACCTGCTCACAACTTTAATGACAGTAGCTCCCAAAGTAGAAGTTTTGCTCCCCGGACTCCACAGCTTAGAGGGAACATCGCTCCACCCCCAAATCTCCAGGAGCTTCCCATCCTTGAGCTGGCAACCCTACCCCCCTACCCCGACTGGTGGCCAATGGGGACCCTGCAACCCTAGGAGGGAGAAAGACTTCCTAAGTCTTCCCAGCAGGTTCAACCCATGCCCCAGTTGGCAGAAAATGATCACTCCCCCATACCCAGGCATCTCCAATACTCACCGAATTCTCTCACAATGGCCAGACCAATCCCTTTGGTGCCACCAGTCACAATCACCACCTTGCCCGGGTAACGCAGACAAGTTGCCATGCCAGCTGTTTGCCTCTGTTTCTCTGAATGACTAAACTCCACGTAGAGCTTTGGGAATATCGGTTCTTGGGTGGAGAAATGCAACTACTTAATTTGTTGGGAGGAGTGCCCATGACTAATTTGTTGTGGAGCATGGGGTTTGGTCCTTTCGGAACTGGCTGAAGAAAAATGGCGGGGGGGGGCTTTCCAGAAGCTCCCGTGTTTTCTCCCAGTGATGGGGTGACAGTCTACATTTAAAACACTGTTTGTCTAATGCAGCAAAATCAGAGAAGGGAGGCGAATAATTTACTCTGCTCTAGAATTTTTATTGTTTAGCACAAAGTTTTTTGGTTCTTGCTGGTTTCTACTGTGTACCTTGCTTCTTGTTGTTATTTCCCTGGCCCTGTCAGGTTTCACTGATGTCATTCAGGGCTGGTTCCAGGTTTTGGGGGGCCTTGGGCAGACAGTTCCCAGGCCCCCTCCCTTCCCCTGCCCATCACCAAGCACTCATGCACCAACACCCACCTGAAGGCCTCCCACCTCCTGTGCCTCCTTACTCTTTCTGCTCACAAGCTGTCCCACCACCCCTGCTCAAAGCTGCCTTCAGAACTTTCCCCAGTGGCACACGGGCAGGGCCGGCAGCAGGGATCATGGGTGCTGCAGCACTAGGCACTGAGTGAGTTGGGGGTGCTGGCCGGCTGCAGTGTACCCTGCCAGGAAACACTGGCCCCGGTGGCTGCCCCACCTGAGGGTATGCCGACGCCCGCCCAATTGCCAATAGGCTCTTCTGTCATTAGATTTCCTTGTATTTCAGTGTATTGTGTGTTTCCTTTATGTAACTGTATATTTTCTTCTGAATAGACTTTCCATACATTGTCCTACTTAGTGGGCAGTTCCTTTTTTTCCTTTTGTGCTGTTGCACTTTCTTAATAGCTCATTTTGATGATGGCATCTGAAAAAGTTGGATGACTTTTTCAGCCTTGATTTAACCATTGAATTGCTGGGTGGTACCTCAGGATGAGGAGATCTGCTCCATCACCACCACCACTCTGATCAGGAGCCCTGCTTCTGTTTCTCCTTCATCAGGAGAAAGCACAATCTGCCCATAAAGAAACGAAAAGGGAGGTGAGGTGTGAAGCTGGTGTGTCCAGGCAGAGAGCTTGGAGGTGCAGGGAAGGGAAGCTGTGAGGCCAGGGGGAGAGGGCACCAAACCCGGCTCAACCAGGAAGGGCAGGTCCTGATGCAGACTCATTTTCATCTATTAAAGCCAAACAGCCACAACACCTTCATGACATCTCTTTCCTTTGAAGCGCATCTTTATTGGATTATGGGATTTGGGGATCAGAAAAGACACAGTTGTTAGTCAGGAGGAAGTAAACATCAACAGGAGACATCTAATGAAGTTCCACCATTTTGTGGTCTTGCTGTCCTGGAGCACATTCATACGACGAACTAAAGCCTAAATAGAGAAGTGTTTTTCCAGGGCTTAGCTCTCTCTTACACCATCAGAGTCTGGGCTGGATGAAGTTGAATCCAAGATGGGATGGCGTCTTTCATTCTGGGACTGGTAGACATGCTGAATTTCTACTTGTCCCTCAGACGTTACAGGACTGGAATCCCGGGAAGCAGGGTGGCCAACGGGCCTGGGGAAGAATGTCCTGTCCCTCTAATAGAGGCTTCAGGTGTGGAAATAGGCAGTTGAAGCTGTCCATGGCATGGAAGTGCACGACACACACATACCCCTCCCCCCGGATATCTGATGTGGATGAAACCAATACTAAAGTAACCAGTGAGAGACCAATTTGAAAAGAAGAAACCCTTCCTGCAAGAACAAATAACACCAGTCTTCTTTACCAGTGTGGCCTATCTCAACTGGTGTGTCTTAACGGGACTTTCTGGATTCTGCCTTTCCTTTTTAAAAAAATGCCTAAGGTGATACACATGCAGAGGGGGATTCCTTTTCCAACGTGAGTTTCATAAAACAACGGGGGGGGGGTCGTTGCAGACTCAGCCAATGCCAGTTGTATTCTTAGCTTTTATTTCCTCTCCTATTTTCAGCCCTATTCTTTGCTGGAGGAATCCTCTGAGCTCCCACCCGCACTTGGCTCAGGCTCAGGGTCCACCTGGTTCTTCACCCCAAAGCCGAGCTCAGCTCCAGCTCTGAGCACAAGGTCTAAACCAGTGTAGAAAGTACCATCTGTAGCAAGGTGCAGGACACCCCCGTGCCACTTCTTCTGGGGTCCCCAAACGTCCCATAAACTATTAATGCAAAAAACAAGAGAGATAAATGTAGAATTCTATACTTATCGGATGTGAGGTAAGAGTATTAGGTTTCAGAAGCTGAATCTGAGTGGGGCAGGATTTCCTGGGTGCAGAATTCTAACTTTCGATTTTTGTATGCATAGCCCTTTCTGGGTTTGTAGAAAAATCCAAAAACTAAAAAAATTCCTTCAGGGAATGCTGAATTTTTCCCAAAACCAGAGGTCTCATCGAGGGGGAGCCCTCTGGTATGGCGCTCCGGGAGAGAACCTCCGGAGGGCGGGGCGGTCACGTGGTGAAGCCCCGCCCCCTTCTTCACACAGCCCTCTGCTTCGATCCTCATTCTGGTGGAGAATGAGGATGAAGCAGGAGGGTAAGTAGCTGCCTTGCCTTCCCCCCCACCCCATAGATAGGGCCCACCTTCCCCCCCTCGTTCTCGCTGCTCCCGAAGCAGCGAGAACAAAGCCCCAAGCGTCCCTATACCTTTGCTTTCGCCGCTCAGGAGCTCCTGAGCGGCGAGAGCAAAGGCCAGGAACCCCCCCCTTCGTTCTCGCTGCTCCCAGAGCGGCGAGAATGAAGCCCCAAGTGTCCCTCTGCCTTTGCTCTCGCCGCTCAGGAGCTCCTGAGCGGCGAGAGCAAAGGCCAGGAAACCCCCCCTTCATTCTCGCTG